TGTCTTAATTTTTATCTTCCTGGAGATAAAACTTTGAGTGTCCTTGCACCCATTTTTTCTGAGTTGGTCATGAGGGGTGAGAATTTGTTTCAGTAGTACTGTAATGTTCTGGTTAAGACTTAACTTTTGTAGGTGAAACTGCTTTTATTGTATTAGATGTGTTGCCTCAAACATGAAAGCTTTTATAATACTTTTTCTCTTCTTCTAACTACAAACTTTCTGTTGCATGCAAATTTCTTTTGTAAGTAAAAGACGTAAAGCTGGAATCTAGAGCCTGAAGACCTTCTGAAGCAGAATAAAATGTAGTGATACTTGATTTTAGCAGGATGCTGTATTTCAGGGTTTTTTTCTCTTTTAGACTGGCTCTTACTTGCCTCAGACTTACCTAGTCCGTGAAGAAATGGTGGTCACAGAGGAGATCGATAATGTGTCTGATTTGGGCATCTTCATCTACCAGCTCTGTGTTGGAAAAGAGACATTCAGACTTCAGCGCAGAGACCAGATAACAGGTGAGTTCCCATCAGTAAGAAACCAAACCTGTTGCTGGAGGATGGAAAGGGTAAATACTTCAACCACTGGAGTTGTGAGGGCTCAACATGAGCTGAGACTAATCAGAGAACAAATGGGTATTTTTCCCCTACCTTTAAGTATATATCAGTAACGTCATTCAAACATGCTGAGAGTTTCAGTTATGGGATTAGAGGTTACAACATTTTTCTCTTGGTTGAAACTGTAAATTAGTTTGACCTTAAAATTCACATAATCCATCTGATCATGTGAGTCTCTAGGTGCACCTTAGTTTGTCGCTGTCCTGCCTAAAACTGGGTTGCAGGAGCACAAAGTAAAAGCGTTATCTTCTGGTTCACTTGCTTTGGAACAAAAATGAAGTAACTGAACAACTAGTTCTGGACATCCCGGACTTCCTCTATGAAAGAGGAAGAACACTTCATAGGAACTTTTGAGCTCTGTTTCTTTACTGTCCATCTTCTCACACCATTCCCTGCTATTCTGTGAAAAGAATTGAATTTGAGGTGTCAGTAGTTTTGACATACTGGGAGCAGGCCTGGAGTACAGAAATGTAGTACTCGGGATTTTAGTTCACCGTAGTTCTTACATTTCATAGTTTGCTGCTCTCACCAGACATGGGGAACTAATCCTTTGCCACTCACAGCCTTCCAGAATGCAAATGTTTGGTTTGTCAGAACTCTCTGCTTTGGTTTTCCTCTTAGGTGACAGTTTCTTCAGTTACAGTTTATAGCATCAGGAGCCACATCTCCTGTTTGCTGGAGACTCCGTCCTGTTGCTAGATAGAAGGTTCTGTATGTGGGAGCACGAGGCTGGTCTGTAGTTAATGGCATAGGATACATGAAGAAACAGTAAATGCTGCCTTTATGGGGGAGAGAGGCTTGTATCTCTTAGCTTTGTGAAGATGCTTTTATGAACAGGTCTAAATTGATTGCTGCTGTGTCTAAGACTAGTCTACAGACAATAACTGCAAAGAATGTTTATGGTATTTCCTTAAATAATCTTACTGTAACATGTTGCTGACATCTTCATGGCAGAATATTCGCATAAAAAGATTCTAGTAAATGAGTAATGCTGCTTGGTACTGTATCTGTTCCGTAACCTTGTTTGCCCTTGGGAGGAAGGTGAAAGAGGGTGGGAAATCTAGTCAGCTGGAAGACTGCTGCTCAGGAGAAAATTGTTCAGGAGCAAGGCTTGTCTTGCTTTCTAGGTCAGATTTCTAGCATGTTTTTCCTCTAACATGTACAAGCTATACACACATAAGCAATTAGACTGAAGTGGATAAACTCCTTTAATTTCTGTGGAGAGGTGGTCTTGCTTCCCTGGTGCTGCATTGGCGCTTGGATTTTGTAGGATGCGTTCGTTCATCAGGTCAAACTGACCTCAGGTTCTGTGGCACTTGCCTGGAGCTGCAACTGAAGGCATGTGAGGAACTCGACAGGTCATCCTGACTGTTCGGTTATGTTCCTGGTTAGGTAGCATTGGAAGCTTCATAGCTTGTCCAGGTAATAAGACTGAGATGAATTGAAGGACAGCCTGGATTTGAAGTGCTTACAAACCAAAGCAGTGCCCTGCTGGGTTTCATTTAAGAGCTAGTGCTTCTAGACTTCAATGGATAGCTTCTTTTACTTACTCGGAACAATTCTCTGCTTATTAAGCTGTAAATATTTCTTCCCTAGTGGTTGTACATTGGAGTGCATTAGCAGCTTGTCCTTGATGGTGAGACTGGTATATTCTTGTCTCTTAATAAAGATTCACAGCTGCTACAGGTAAACTGCCTGTGTCAGATCCAATCTGGCGTGTCCCAAAATAGAGAAAATCACTTTAATGCTGTTAGGAAAAACTTGAGGGAGATCATCAGCCACATGGCAAATCCTTACAGGGCTGAAGGTGAAGACATCCCTATAGAAGCACCCTCTGTGTTAATACATCCTGAGTAGGGGGAAGTACTGATAAAGAACCAGGGTTTTTTCCTGTGCCCTTTCTGAGTTACTGAAATTACAGGGAAGAGTTTAATCTGCTTTGCTTTTCCTTTTCTCTGTGGCTAGACAGGCCTATGAGAAACTGCCATAAACTGTTAGTGTTGTCTCTTCTGCAAATAAAGTGGTGGCAGGGATGCTAGAAAAAAAGTGCTTGCTTGCTTTGTCCCTGTGTTTGTACCTGGCTCCTGCTTTGGTTGTCACTGTTCTGACAATGTGGGATGTGCTTTGTTAGAATCCAGGCTGATACCAAACACTGGTGGCAGTGCCTGGCTGTGGGAGCACTGTGTACTGCATGGTTGTATCTTGCTGCTGTTCGTAGTGTTACAAAACCTGTAAATACTTGCTTCTGGGTTATAGCTCTGCTTTACTTAAGTTCTCATCTTCTCTCTTCCCCAGGTCTGCAGAAACGTTCAGTGGAGAACTGTCATTCAATCAGACACTTTGAAAACTCTTTCGTTGTTGAAACAAAGATCTGTCAACAGTGAAGGGTGTTGGATGGCAGGTGACTAGTTCACACCTCCATTGAGAAGTCTGAGCATTAGACATTGACTTCTTATAATGTGCAGTGATAATCAAAAGCCTTATGCATTTTCTGTGTATTGCTTGTATTTCAAAAGACAAAGTCACCATTTCAGCTTTCTTTGATCCTTGGTATAACTTTTTAGTTGTCTCATGTAAATGTTAAATTTGGGTAAGGTTTTTTTAGAAGGCTAATACCAGTTTATCTGTTGAATGTGTTTGATTTAGTGTAATCTGGGAATGGCAGAAAAATATATATATAAAAATGTTAACCAATTCCTTGGCTGGAACCAATTCTGTTCACCTTAACTTTCACAGAATGATTAATATTAACAATCTGTGGTTTGCACATCTTGTGTAGTTCTGTAGAATAGCTCTGCACTCCGCATCCTGGCTAAAGAACCTGATCCATATCATTAAAGGTTTATTTTAACTACCATGTGTGAAGCATGTAAAATCCAGCCTCAGTGAGCATAAACCTTTAACACTACCCTGTTTCTTTTTGTGCAATTACTGTATTGAATTCGTATGTATATTTGGAACCTTCCCTGAGCTTATGTTTAATTCTTCTACCTTAGTTTGGTTTTGTGGTATTTAGTTGTTAGATTCAGATAGAATTGCTCTTAAAGCTTGTCAGGTTTTTTTGGTTATGAATTGGTTTATTCTGTAACTTCCTATTTCAAGACTCTGTTCTGGTATAGCTCACTTGTGAATGTGACTGTAGCTGTAACCTTAAACTACTCTGGCTTATATATACTTTTTAGATCAACTTTTTATGAGCAAGTAGTGTTACTACTGCAGTCAGCGCGTTGTTCCTTTTTTTGAAACCTGCAGTGTAAAGATAATGAAGAGTTAGTGTCCTGCAGTTGATGAACTTGAGAGTTTTATTAAGGGACTTTATATTGGCATAAATTCTGCAACCCTATAATAAATGTTTCTCTAAAACTCTGGTGTTTGTGTGACTTCGTGGAGTTGAGAGTGTACCCTGGCATGTGGCTCATGTGAGGGGAGGTGATGGGTATGGGTCTGGGGCAGTACACAGTGCTCTTCCCTCTTACCCCTCTCACCTCTTTTTCAGCTTGAGGAGCCGAGTTACCTCGGCCTCTGTGGTGCGTAAGTTCAGGAACAGAGGGAAGAAAAGACAAACAATCCCCCATGGGGCAATTCTCAGTGGTGTTTAGAGCTGTGAACTGCCTGCTGAGCGACTTCTGGCATGTGAGCAGTAGCTATCAGTTGTGGTATAGCAAAGGAAGGATGCATTCTGTAATTCATCCTCTGAATACTGGTGTGGATGAGGCCGATGATTAAATGCTTGCTTGTCTTAGTGTATTTATGGCAGTGTTAATGAGAAGTTTTTTTAGCATATTGTAATAGATGAAGGCAGCAGGGGGTTAATTGCCGCCTTATTGTAACACCTCTCAGCATTTACCCATGAGCTTTGCTGTGCTTTGAGCTCAGAGCTGGGGGAGCTGCGGTGAGATTTCTGTGACTGGTTGTTCAGAGAGCTAAAGTGTGCACTGAACCCTTCTGGCTTTCCTGGAGAGTAACTTGGGTTATACAGCTGGAAGTAAAACAGCAGTCTAAGAACAAGGGAGTGAGAAGTGACTATAGGAGAACCTGCTCTCAGTCATTGTTCATGGGATTAGGCAGAGGAGAGGAGCAGAAGGCAGGTCCTGGGCAATAGGGAATTCCGCTGCCTTGTCTCAGAAACTAGTGCAGCTTTTCTCCCAGGGCATGTGGTGATGCAATGCAGAGGACACATCCCCCAAACTAGACCTTTGGTCTTCCTGTCTCTGCAATAGTAAGTGTAGGAGAGTATTTAATTATGTACTTAAATTGTCTGAAACAGAATACTGTAGAAAGCTCTAATTACCTGGAACAGGCTGGTGTCACTGGGAGAAGTAGCTGCACTGAGAAGTTTCTGCTACAGACCCGAAGTGCTTGGGCAAGTTACTGCTTTTCCTGACCATCTCATTTGTTTTGGTTGTCTTGAGTGGAAGGGTTTGGAAACATCTCGGTTGCAGAGAGCAAGGAGCATCCACATGCAGCATTGAGGTTTGGCTTTACTGAGAATGAAAAGTAAAAATCCTTTCAGCTGTAGTGGTTCCTGTTCTAACCTGCTGGCTACCTTGAGACATGCAGCAGGAATGCTAGGCGTGCTTCCAGATAGGCTGAAACAGTTTCTCTTACCTTTGTCTGGTAAAGCTTTTAAATGAAGTCAGTTCCTTAGGAGCATGTTGATGTTCTAGGCAATAAGCCAGGATGCTCAGAGGAACAGATTGTTCTTACCTGCTCAGTGCTGCTGCGTTGAGAAAGTAGCTGAGGTTTTGGTCATGTGTGCAGGGATTATCATCTGCCCCTTACCAGTTTTGGCTGGTGTGGCCATTCAGGGATCAAAGGACTGCAGTTTTAAGGTTGCTTCTATGAAAACAGCTGATATTCCCAGGATGTTCTAATGCTGTCTCAGTTTGAGCAGCTCCTGCAATGAGCCGGTCTGTAGGAAGCAGAGTGCAAGTTGGAGGAGTCTCTTGCACCAGCAGGTGGCACAGGCAGCAAGAGCTTGGCCGTAAGTGTGTGGAACTGGCAAAAACTTGTGTATTTATTCTAATGTACAGGGTTTTGCGTGTTCTGCCAAGATTAAACCTAAAAATGGTTTGAAGGCTTCCTCTAGGTGGTGCTTAGTGTCTTTGCTTTATCTATAGTAAAGAGCATTTTTATAATACAACTGTAACCCGTGCGAAAACCCCATTAAATATCCAGGTAAGACTGGCCTTCAGACATGGCTGTGGGAACTGAAAGGATAATGTAACCAAGGTGCAAATGCCAACTGATTTACTGGAGTAGCCTCTGTTTACATGTGCTTTGACTGACAAAACAACCACTGTGCGCTTACTGACAAGTGATCTTTATGCTAGCTTGAAGGTTATTCTTCTGACACAGTATACTTGGAGGTAAGTGTTAAATATGTTCATGAATGTGAAGTTTGCAGTCCAGTGCTTTGGATGATCCCTTTTCCAGCATTGCATTGTGATGGTTTTTCAAGTTTAAGTACTCTAATCAAAGTCATGCTGGAGGAAAAATCACAATTAAGAAGAGGCTTGTATTCGTGCCTTGGAGGAGATGTTGTTGACCTTTGCAAAAGCCCGATGGCGTTCTGTCTGGGGGTAACTGGTAAGATGTGGGCAACTGGTGATGTGTTAGACAGACTACTTCCATTAAAGTAGGTGATAGTATACCTCAGAGTTTCCTCTAGCCTGACTTTGTAAAAAATCATAGAAATTAAACTGTTACTTGAATATAGAAATACATTGAGAAGCAGATCCAGGGAAGGAAAAATGGGTACAGCATGGAGACATCTGAAAGATGTACCCAGGTCTCAAACTGGTGTGAAATGGAGCTTCTCAGACTTGGTAAATTGGTTGCCTAAAAGAGACATTTTCACAACCCTATGCTATGGACTGTTGCAGCACAGCCATGCTTAGTGTGGTAGTGAAAACCTCACCTTGCACTCACAGGAAGAGTTGCAGTGTACGTGCAGATGCCGGGAGGACAAAGAGCCTGCTAGGACTTCCACAAGACTGGGCTGACTTCTGTAGACTTACTAGTTCTTGGCATGGCAGGGACAGCTACCAAAACCACAGGTGTGCTCAGCAGACTTTATAGTGAAGGATGGCAGGAATATCAGCCGAAATCAGCTCTGAATTTCCCAGGGGAATTCTGGTTTAGCATTTTCCAATAATCTCCCTATGTCTGGGATTTGTTCTTCCCCAGCTGCTTCAGCTCTGCTTGCAGTAGGGGGGGGGGGCTGCATTGGACGGGCCCTTCATTCATGATCGAGCAGCTGCCAGCCTCGGATTTTGTCGGTTGATGCTTTTGTTTCTGGTCTTCCTTGAAGTACTCGGGAAAGCTAGGAAGGAACAAACCATTATGATCTTTGACTAAAGACAGCCTCTTCCACCCTACTGCTTCCCCATCTGTTGTGTTTCATCTCTCATTCTCCTAACGTGCCCTGAACTAGCCTCACAGTCTGTAACAGAAGAGAACTCTTGCAGGGCCAGATAAATGCAGTGCAGCCCTCAAAGCCTCTGCAGTGGCACAGCAGCTAGCTGTGTGGCTGAGCAGCTACCACTCTGGGAAGGCTGAGCTTGAGGTCAGGCTTGGAAGGATTAAAGCTGCTTTGACTGTCCTAATTCTGAGCTGTGTGGGGGATGGTTTGGCTGCCCGCTGCAGCACAGGGCCCGAATGCTGGCACCGATTGATTCGAGACTGCAACCAAAATAATAATGTGTAATTACAGTCACATTATTTAATTACAATGATTTCTTAATTATGTGTATATATTTGTGATATTACCTAGGCAGTTTGACTGGGTGTATTTGCTTCCATGGGAATAATTAGACTCTCCACTTCCAGAGGAAATTATTTGTTATAGTTCAACTCTTCTCTTTACTTGAGCGTATTTTCTCTCTTTTTGTACTGTAGCACCACTGAGTTCCACATTAACAAGTGTGAAAGTGAATTTACTGTCTTAAGTCGTTCTCACTGTGACTGTAAATGTGTGTCTGTTACAGAAGCATTCAGGTTTGTGCGAGCTGTTCCATTTTAGGGCTGGTTGACGTTTGAAGCTGTTCCGGTTTAAGCTTGGGTGTTGACATGTGATTCTGGAACAAGGAGCTTCCTTCCTACAGACCTAATCCCTTGTTGGAATGGAACCAGGTAGTTTTATTCTGGAGTGAGAGCGACAGCCTGTGGAATTTCTCAGGAGTAGATCCACAGATGGATAAACCTATGTTTTCTACTTTGTCAAAGGTCCCTCGGGAGGAAGGGCTATGTAGGTATTTTTGGTTCTGTGGCATGGTGGTGTCAGTGGTAACTGCACTCTCGCATGACAGTAAGTAACTTGGTCCTTTGGTTTCTCTGTGCTCGGTGGTTATAGCTTCTTTGTCATTTCGTCTTCTCAGACCCTTTCACTAGTGAATGCTTTGAAAAATAAGAGGAATGCAGTAGCCACCATCCAGGCTCCCCTACCCTCACTAGTGTGCCTTGTCACTCAAGTGAGAAGTTGGAAGCAGTTACAGCTTTGCTTCCTTACATCAAGAGAAGGCAGGGAGAATCTGACCCTAACCCAAGTGAACAGCAGTGCTTTGGTGGTGGAGAACTGAGCTGTAACTGCCGGCTTTTCACGTAAGCTTGCAGTCTGCAACGAAATGAAAGCATTTCTGCTTATCTGATCCATCTGTGCGGCAGTGTAAGCTGCTTCCCTTGATGTCCAAGTTTGTTCTGCTCTTACCAAAGCTCCCAGCAGTTCACAGTGCACCACTGAATGGGATATGTAGCAGGGAGGCTGAGAAGCAGGAATGATGCTCCAAAGACACAGGCTCCTGTTACTGACTGCCTGAAAGTGTTTTCTATGGTAAAGGTTTTCTTGGGCGCAGAGGGCTAGGGAGTAGAAGTGCACATGGGTGGAGGAGAGCTTGCACCTAGAAGTGCTGATGGCTGAGGCCTTATTTTCACTGCAGATCAAGACCTTTGATTTTCAATAGGAAACAACTCATATTAACTGGAAGGAAAACAAAAGTTTCTGGCTGAGTGCCTTGAGTCCAGGAGAAAAAAAAGTGAGGTCCAGATCTCAAATTCTGTATTTCTTCTATAAATATCCTGTTTGCAGATACACTGATATGTGCGTTTATCTTTTTTGCAGACTCACTGTATTTGTTGTTTCTTAATGGAGCCAATGGTTTCCCACTGCAAAACTCTTCTTGCTTTTCCAGCATCACTTGATTTTTCTTCCTCTTCTGTCTTGTCATTAACCAACCAAAGCCTGCTTACCAAAAGACTCTAATGCTACAAAGGAAGGATGGGCCCTTGCTGCAGAGCTGGGATCTACCACAGAACACTAATGGCCTGGTGAGTTGATGCTCTGGGGCTGAACCCTGATAGCCTGCAGGAAAGTATCATTGCTTCATAGGGAGATGGTCAGAGGAGGCCTGGTTTGCCCCATTGCTTTTGTACGCTGTTCCATATAGAAGAGGTCATGCTGGTTGTCTCATGTGCTGAGAAGCATGGACATGTTCTTCGAAGCCATAAGATCTCAGCCTTGCAGCATTGCTGTTGCATTCATCCTTTTGCCTTTGAGAAGACAGTGTTGTGGTCCCCCATCTGGTATTTCTTCCAAGGGCTACTTTGATGCAAAGGGAGGCAAATTCACCCTTGCAAATGCTGACTGCCAGCCCCTGAGGGCCCACACGGAGCTGTGGAGAACCTGCATGGTTAGTGTTAATTCACTTTCATAAGAAACCTCTCATTAAGCTAGGAACTCATAGCCATGTGAGTTTTAGCTTCTGTTTTGCATAGGTCTCCTGGGAGCTTCCACTCTAGTTGTGCAGACCTCAGTCTGACCACAGGGAGTTACCATTTCTTAAATATCGACTGTGTCATGCAATAGTGGAGTTTGTGTGAGATAACGGCGCCGCATCCCAGGACAGATGCGCAGGCTGATGGCAGATTGGAGAAACCAGGCAGCCAAGCCAAGAGTTTGGGTGGATTAAAAGCTTTAAAATGGAGTTTTTTCCCTTGGGATCCGTGGGACGGCAGGCAGGGAAGTGACACTGGCTGTGGGGTGCTTGGAGCAGAGCACTAGTGGCTGCACATTGTGGTTGCAAAAGCCATGCCCTTCACTAAGCTGGAGCCCTACCAAGATGGTCCCTTCTTGCATCATTGTTGAGCCCATTGGGGAAAATGGGTAGGCAGGAGAATGAAGAGGTTTGTTAATTCTCACAGTAAGTTATGACAATTGGTTATGTCCTTTATGTTCATCTTATCCCTGTTGGGTGTTCTGGCTTTTCTTTTATGAAGTTTATGCTTAGGAGAAAAAAAAGCAGGGGTTGAAGGGAACTGAAGCAGACTGGTATCAAAAATTACAATCTCAATGACTGTAGGTCAACCACTTGCTGACCATGGAGGTACCAAACCCCCCAAAAGCTTCTCTTTTCCCCTCCCTTTAACTGTATGAGGGTACTTCTGTGCATGTCCAGATGGAGCACTGGGTCAGACTGGGATGAGAGTTATTTTTTGAGGTCTAACTCATGCTGAAATGGGCTCTAGGGGCAAGTGGACATGTTGCCAGACTTGCCTTCTTAGAGGCAGCTGCTGTTCAGTCATCACCCACACAAGGACAGGACCCCTTCAAATGGCATGCTAGGTGCCACCAAAAACCCACGTCTGAGCCCAGCCAGCAGCTCGTGACGTTTGTGGAGTATATCCCGTATTGCTTTGACGTGATGTACAGAAATAGAGCTGGAAGCAGGAACAAGCAGCCAGGTCTTCCCCTTTGAGGACATGACATTAACCACCAAAAGTCATGCTTGTGTCTGTCCCCTGTGCCCAGGACTGGGCCGTGATCTTCTGTTCTTTCTCCTTAGGTGGATGATGATAAAAACAAAGATCCCTGCACCCCTGCCTGCTCATTTCAACTGAAATGTCAAGTTTTCACACCAAGTCTCCCAAGTACTCTACTTTGTGGCATATTTTTCTTTGAATTTTGAGAAATTCAGAAAGTCTTCCTCCATTTATCTATTTCAGCTGTGTAATCCCTGCTGTTAAGTTCTGTAGAGCAAATCACTGCGTTTGAGGGAAGGGTGGGAGAAACAGGTTGATCTGAGGGTAGCTGCTGGGCCCAACACACACGTTACAGTGGCAAGTACAGCCCAAATGCTGGAGCTCCTCTGTGCTGACTTAACTGGCAGTGAGAACCAGGTGCTGGCCGTACAGGTCCAGCGTGTCTGCTTTCTTTTCATCGGGGTATTTATCAAACCATCCCTGTGAGGATTTTAGCTTCTTTCTTTTGCTTTTGTTCTGGACGGGGTTGACTTGTATCTGCATTGCTCGCTGTGGTTTTTGTAGTTACTGTGGTCTGAGGAGTGGTGTCCAGCAGTGCTGTGTTTGATGCTCTGTGTGTCTTTATGGCCAATGAGCCGTTTTCACGACGCTGGGGATGATGCTATTGTTTTGGCCTCTAACAGCAAAGTGAAAAAGGAAGTGAACAGTAAAGTGCAAATTGTCGAAGCCTGCTGCTGGTGCAGCCTTAAATGGAGCAGGAAAATACACCACCAGCTACCGAGAAACGGGGACTCTTTGGAGGACACTGAGCAACCAGATGACAACAGTGAATAAAAGATAGAGCTGCTGAGAGAAAAGACACATAAGGGGAAAGCAAAATTCTGCTTGGGTCAGAGGAGCCTTTTCACACAGAAAGGAGATTGTAGAATCATGGAATCCCAGCCTGGTTTGGGTTGGAAGGGACCTTAAAGCTCATTTTGTTCCAACCCCTGCCACAGGCAGGGACACCTTCCACTGGAGCAGCTTCCTCCAAGCCCCTGTGTCCAACCTGGCCTTGAACACTGCCAGGGATGGGGCAGCCACAGCTTCTCTGGGCATCACCATCCCCACAGGGCAGAATTTCTTCCTAATATCTAATAGAAATCTCCCCTCTGTCAGTTTAAAGCCATTCCCCTGTGTCCTGTCCCTACATACCCTTGTAAAAATCCCTGTCCAGCTTTCTTGTTGGTCCCTTTAGGCACTGAAACTGCTCTAAGGTCTCCCCAAAGGCTTTTCCAGCCTGAGCAACCCCAGCTCTCTCAGCTTGTCTCCAGAGCAGAGGTGCCCCAGTCCTCTGAGCATCTTCGTGGCCTCCTCTGGATTTGCTCCATGTTCTTATGTTGGGGGCCCCGGATCTTTTGAGTTACATGGGTAGCTTATGGGTGATGGCTGGTGATGGCAGAGAAGATGAAGAGGATATTGGAAATGTTAGAGGACTGAGGCTCTGGCCATCAGCCTCCTTGCTCCTAACCCCAGGTGGCAGCCGTCGGGCAGGAGGTAGCTGGGGGTCCTGAGCACAGGCAAGAAGTTGCCTCTGCTGAGGCACAAGTTGGGCAGAGGGGGTGAAAAGGGAACCAGTTCCTCGTGGTGCAAGAGGAAGGGGCACAGAAAGATATTGTCAGGTGGCTGCTCTGAGCAATGCACATACAGCTTAAGTAGGGAATTCATTGCCACTGGGCTTAAGGGATCAGTGGGTTCAGGTGTATGCTGGGCAAATGGGTCGGAAAAGAGCTTTTCATGGCTCTGGGCACGGTGCTTTCAGTGCAGCTGCAGGAAGCCTCACAACCAGCGGTGGAGGATGGCTGTGCCTGGGTAGGACTGTCACCTACAGCCTGGTGATTCAACACTCTCCCCAAGCCCACCATCAGCAGCCAGCGAGCCTCCCTGGTGCTCTGTGCTCTGGCTCAAAGGCACCAAGAGGAGAGCAGGAAGAAGGGCAGGCGTTCACAGCCCCATTTCCGCAGCAGCCTTCCCTTGCAGTGCGGTTCCAAGTCTCAACGTAAAAAAGAAGAACAAAAAAGACCCATCCTCTCTTGTCACAGCGACAGCGACACAAAGGCAGCAGAGAGAGGTGATGAAACCGCCGCAGCCAGCGCTGCTCTTTCCGCAGCGCGTGGGCTCAGAGGCGCGGGGCCGTGTGGGAGTCGATGGAAACGGGGCTGTGCTGTGCTGCGTTCAGAAACCCACCAGCTCTGCTCCCACCCAGTGCTCTGTCATCCTCATTCGCCTTGTTTCAGGTGTAAATAAGACTTCCCTAAAACACCTGATGGTGCTTATGAGCGGCTTCAGGGCTTCAAGCGTTCCCCGAGACATTCCCTGGGCCTGTGTTCTTGCCACGGTGCCTTCTCTTAGCATTAAACTAAACCTAACTCTGTGTCAAAAAGCCACTTGTTGCTTCAGCACCAAGTGTGCCTGGTGAGGCTGTTGGCAGAGACCTCAGTGCTTTGCTTCTCAGTATAACAACCCTCCTGGGGAAGAGGTGCTTGAGCAACCAGAGGAAATGTTTCATGCTGAATAAGGGGATGTTTTGGGGTTGTTTTTTACTTTCGGTTATTCTCATTGAGATCCCCAGTCCAGATTTACTACTCACAAGCTTTCCTTAGAAAAATTTTCCGTGGGAGTATCAGCTTCTTTTGTCTTTGAACAGGCTAAGGGAGACCTGCAGCCAGAGCTGAGCAAAGTCCAGGTGAAGAATCACATCTTGCCTAGCACAGAGCTCGAAGCTGGGCAGCAAAGTGCTCAAACAGTAAGTGCTCCCTGATGCTTCAGTGGCCGGGTATCACTTGTCTTCTCCAAACCCGGTGTGCCATGTGTCATCCCCACTTGAGGCTTCCTTGGGTGGCAGAAATGCAGCAGAGCATCTCTCTGCTGGTGTGTGGTGCTCCAGGGCTCAAGCATGGGCTGATATCATGGATCCTGAGCCATCGACAGGGCATGAAAATACACCTGCCCTTAATCTAAGCAATGTCTTGATGTCTGTGGCATCATCAGGCAAGGGCTTGTGAGACCTTTGTGATGGAGAGCGTGGCTCAAGCTAACCCCATGTGGGGCAGAGGTGCTGTTGCAGGAGGGGACAGGCAGGTCTCTCCCGAACGTGGCTCATGTGAGCAACTGCATTACACCAAGCTTCCTGTAGAAAGAGACCGTTAAGACTAGCATGAATAAACCACATTGCTATGGCAGCAGACGACACGGCTCATGTGCACCCACAGCATTTTCTAGGTGGGAAAACTGAAGCTTATTGAGGTTTTTCTTACTGAACAATTTCTGAACTTCTGACACCGCTTTGTGTAGCATCTTTTCCCCTCAGAAGCTAAAAGTAGCTCTGTGGGGTTGTACAGGGCCATCCTGCTCTCCTCCCACAGGGACAGAGGCCTGAAAGGACGGTGATGGGCTTGCGCTGGAGCTGGCCTTCAGTGATAGGAATTCACCGTGTCTGGGGGGCAGATGAGCTGCTGCACTGTTCAGGGATGTGTGTTGTCCCTTTGTGAGCCACTGTTTTGCTTTTCTCCCCAGCGCAAGAAGGAGGTTGAAATCATTCTGAAAAGGCACCTGAAATGTTCTACAGGTGATTGAGAGGGGTCAGTGTCCAAGTGCTGCCACGTGTTGGTCTGTGTTAGTGTGTACTGGGGATGCAGGAAGTTACAGACAGGAGAGTTGGCCAAGAATTACATTTAATTGTTTTTTTTTAAGGATTTTTTAATCATATACAAAAGGAAATTAAAAAAAAAACACCCACTTTTTCATTGCTGTGAATGAATGACAATGTGCTTCATGGTTTCCATGAATTATCCGTCCTGACCCAGCAACATACTCAGGTACAGACACACCGGCTCAGACTCCTGTGGAGATGAGGAGGTACAGTTTGGTTTTATTATATAAAAGGGTTTTTTTTTTAAGAAAATAAGTGCTTGTGTTCCAACGCTCTCTGGGATTCACATTTTTTCTACAAAATATATATATATATTTTTCATAAATTATAAAACAACATTTGCATTTAAATAAAGCCTAATACCATCACAGTATTTTCGCATTTCAAAATGTAACGTTTCAGATGTTCACAGAAAAATCAGTCTGACAAAAGAAGGTGCAAATGAAACGCCAGCCCAGCCCAAACCTTCTGTTATTTGATTTTAAAGAAATAGTTACTAAAAATACATCCACGTCTGAGCCTTTCATAAAAGTCTCTCATAGCCTGTTGGGTGGCACGTTTGACTGCTTAGAGTGAGTTTCCATTACAGTAAACTTGAAGGCTTGCTTCCTCTGACTGTGCTTTAATGATGCTGCCCTTAATGAAGGTGTGATGGTGCAGGGTTAGTTATCAGTGAGAGAAATAATTTGCTCTCTCTTTGGTGAAAAGAGGACCTGAAGGGCCTGATGGACATCTACCCTTGAAGCAGAGCCCTGTGGTTAAAGCTTATCCAAGGCAGCAATATGGCTTCAAACCATATGGCTTTCAAGCTGGAAATGGAAGTGGTGGGAAAAAATAAATTGGGCCAAACCCCAAAATACAGTGAACGTTTGAAGCCCTGGCAACCATCTGTGGAAGGCCAGCACTAGCAGTCCATGGTGACCTTCCTGAGCACATCCCTGGAGTGCTTCCTTGCGTAACTGAGGCTGTGGAGCTGAATGCTGTCTTGTAAATCCTGCCTGGAAAGGCGTCTCCTGAACTCGTCTGTAGTAAAGTAGTAGATGACTGGGTCCACGCAGGAGTTCAAGCTGGCAAGGCACAAAGCCACAACGTGAAACACTGAGATCACCTTCTGGACGCATCCGTTTTCAATCCTTTTGGTTTTGACAAAGAAATCGAGCGGAAAGCTGATATGATAAGGTGCAAAGCAAATCAGAAATACCAGCGCGCAGGTAAGAATCATCTTGAAAGCCTTTTTCTTCTCTCCGAGGTCATGTGAAGCAGAATTTTTTTCTTTTAGTGACAAGACAGTCTTCCAGGAGCAGTATAGGATGATGAGTAGGGGTGTGACGAACCCCACCAATTCCCCCATTGTCACCATTACGATGGAGATGGGAAGGTCAACTTCCTTTACAGGGAGATCCACAAAACATGTGTTTTTAGCATCCTGTTGGAGTCTGAGAAGTGGGAAAGGCAAACAGCCAACACAGACCACAACCCACCCAATGATGCTGATATACACATCACAGATGCGCTTGCAGTCGCTGAATTTGAATGGGTGCATAAGAAACAAATATCGTCTTACACTGATGCAAACCAAGAAGTAGATGCTTGCGTACATATTGACGTACTTCAGGTAGAAGCAAAACATGCAGAGACCTCCTCCAAATTCCCATGTCCCAGTCAAGTAATAGAAAATCCTCAGGGGCAAGGACAAAACCTGTGATAAATCAGCAATGGCTAAATTGATCATAAATATTACAGCCCTTTTAGTCTCTTTCATGTACCCATAAAAGACCCACAAAGCTAATGTGTTTCCTATTAGTCCGGGGATCAGGATGAAAGTGTATGTAACCGCATAGTAGGGCTTGAGGTCTGTTTCAGTGCAGGTCGAACTGTTTGTCATGGTTGTGCTCCAGATCCGTGCTCAGCCCCAGCATGGTAGCATGTTCCTGCAGCCAGGCTGTTCTTGGGTTGTTGGTGCTTAAATAAACAGGTTCAGCCCCGGCATCCGTGTGTGAGGCTTTAGTTACCAGATCATCATGTCCACTGTGGGGAGAAGCTTGGTTATAGGGTGTTAATCGAAGTCCTGCTCGTGTGCTTTGCTCATGCTCTTTGTCAGAAATGACCAGACCTCACTCTAGCTGCTTGCAGGGTTGACAGAGAGGGATCCACACTGAGAAATGCATCGTGTGCCAAAGCAGTTGTCAGTTCGCCACAGGGACTGCACCTCTGTCACCTTTTGGGTGGCATTTCAGGCACGGCTTTCAACAGAGGAGTTTGACAACCGGAGCGGCCCTGCAGCTGAAAGGCAGAAGGATGCGTTTATAACACTGTGGGGGGACACAGGTCTGACAAAGTAAAAGGTATGGAAAAGCTTGCAAAAGCAGTAAGAACACCTCTCTAACAGCAGCCTATTGCTGTGACCACCTGTGGTGGTCAGCTCTTCTCCCACCTAACAAGCTCCATGCCTCGCCCAGTGAAGGTAGGTGCAAAACCACTGCACAATAAATAGAAAACATGTTTAATTGCTGCTACAAACCAGCCTCCTGGGCTGTACCAGCGACCAGAAGTCACCCCCGATCACAGGGCATATTTAACTTGCTGCTGGGTTTCTGCAGCTGTGTCTTTCCCAGCTCCAGCTTTTCCATTCATATCCCCCTTTGCCTTCAAGAGGTCCCTGGACTGTGCCCAGGCGGTGGCACCAGGGCAGCAGTGACTGACCCAGAGCATCTTCTCACCCCTGGAGAGCTTCTCTTTTCCTCTTGGCTTCCCAGGTGCCAGCCCCAGCCACTAAGAAGGGGGTAGCTGCTGGGCAGAGGGAGGGTGGCTCACAAGGAGCTGCACAGCTTTACCTTGAGCTGATTTTCACCCAGAATGTCTCAGCTTCTTGCCTGACGTTTGCTCTGAAGCGCCAGCAGAGAGGAGCTCGGGGACTTCGCAGTGCCATCACTCACTGTCCATTGAGGTGTCCCGTGCCTGCAGATGCTGGCACTGCTCCTGTGAACACTGCTTGGGCAAAGTTGCATCTGCCTGGGGAGCATCTATAGGGGTGCTCACAAGATAAAGCCCCAAGCCCGCTGCACCCAGCTCTTCCTTCCAGTGAGTTTTAAAACTCAGTTATTTTTTTCTTTAAACAAGATGTCTTTCCTCTCATCTCGTTCCCAGGGGCTCCCAGTCAGGGAGGCTGAATCATGCTGCTTCTCCTCTGGCCACATCCCTTGTTGGGGTAAGTTCACCCTACCTCCATGGCTGGGCCCATCTGTCTGCTCACAGCCCAGTGCACACACACGTGCATGCTAGCGATCCTCCTGCTGCCCCTCACCAGGGCTGCGTTTCCCTCTCCCCACTGCACAGCAATGTTCCTGCAACACCATCCCCTGCTCCCTCCAGCCCAGCCCCAAGGCAGGGATGTGCTTGCAGCACCCTCTGCCTCTCCCTGGGGCTGTGAACCCACATTATGAGGGTTCCCAGAAAGCCCAGCTAAAGCTGGCTAGCAGCGAGGGTGCTCACCCAGGGCACCCAGAAATGGCCCTGTGAGAGCGGCCACCCTCGGAAGGGGGATAAAAACACAGCAATGAGAGAAACTGCACTTTGGAAATCCCGAGCAGCAGCGTGGCAAAGTTCAGCCAAACGCGCTATGTAAAAACCAGCAGGATGCTAAAAAAAGCCCCAGAAAGAGGAAATCTTGTTTCACATGCTCTGCGCTCACTTCCCCTTGGCACAGGGGGCTGGCTGCTGTGTTAGGTGCAAGACTCTGCCCAGGCATGGCTTCCTTCTTCCCCTGAATGGTTCCCCCTCCCCTGTTTTGCCAAGGAGACCCCCAGCCAGCCGCATCAGGGCACTGGGGTAAGACTCCTTGTTTGTGCTTAACGAGTCAGAAACACCAGGTAAGCTTTGTACCCGGCACGGAGGCTGGCGGTTAATGCGTGTTAAAGCCGGGCACATGCGGTGTAAAGTATTTTCCCCGTGCTGAATGACAGCCATGTGTCCTTGCTCTCCATACAAACAAGTGCCAGAGCTGCGAGAGCAGCCACGGCACCTGTGGGCCTGAAGTGCAGTGGGACTCTGCCCCGTGCCCCCATCAGAGCCCACCACAGCCTCCACAAGAGATCAGGCTCCACACCTGAGGCTGGTTGTAACTGCCCCAAGTCAACCCTCCTTAGCAAATCCATTGGGGTTTACCCCAGGAAGCAAAGCCACAGCAGCTCTAAAAAGCCAGCTTGGAGGAAACCAGCCCATGGATGGGCAGTGTTTGTAGGTGCTGCCCCTGCTGCAGCATTGTGCCTTGTTGCTCCCCTCCTTAAAGAGCCCAGGATGCTGCCCAGCACCTCCTGCTCCCTCCCAAGACCAGGGTAAAAGAGCAGCCTGGATGGATTCTGCCACCAAGCACCGTTCTTGCAAGGAGTGATGCAGGTGAGCAGTAGGTGTGCAGGCCCCCAGTGCTTGGTGTGGGGCTGGTATCTGTGCTGTAAAAACACATAAAGCCTGCGGTAGAGGTGACACAGGCTGGTGCTGTGCCTGACACCAGGCATCTGTCATCATGGTCAGTGTCATCTGCAGGCTTACCCTTTGGGGGATGCTTTGGGGGTGCTGCTGGCTGGAGCCTCTCTTCTGGTTTCCTTTGTGTTCTCCACAGCCTAAAATAAAAGCAGAACGTGCACGGGGTAACTTCAAATAGAAACGTGGTTCCCTGCTGAAGCTATGCAAGCAGAGGCAGTGTGGTGGTGGCTCTGTCCCTCCCTGTGGATGTGGGGACGGGAGAGGTTGCCAGGGACCAGAGCAGGACAGCACTGTCCTGTGCCAGGCTTCTCCTGTTTTCTAGGTCACCTGAAGTGCTGCTGTCCTATTTCAGCAGAGATAACTGCTAGCAGTAAGAATTAATAAGGTATTGGCTAAAAATAGAAATAATAGACACATAAACTGACCATTGTGCAGGATTGTGCTTTAGTTCTTTTTAAAAATGTCAAGGGAGGATAAAGGTTTTTCCTCCTTGAATCAGTTTTCTGATAGATGTCCAGGTTTTATATCTTCTTCCAGAAGAGCAATATTGCTTCTTGCTGTGCTAACTGTGGAGATATCTCTTTTATTTCCTTTTTGGTAGCATCTGTCCACAGAGGCCACGGTACTTTTGTTAGGCATCCTCAGAGCCTCCTGTGCTTTGCTGTGCTTGTCCTGACAGCAGGAGCCCTGGTGTCCTCTGCCTGCCTTATCCTAGCCTGGGCATCTTGGCATCCTATCAGCAGCATCTCCCTGCCCGGGT